TTTGGATCGCATTATATTATTTATTTATTTCATTTAGAATTCCTGATTATTCTCTTATTCATTCACTCGACTGAAATAACAATGTTGTTAACTTGCAGCGATTATGAAGCATTTCTCAACGGATCATGGTCTTGGTACTCCGGTTATAAAGGTGGGTGGTTTGTTATTTATTTGCCGGATTTTGATAGAATTGTCAACCACTTTTACACTGGTGATAATTGCAGTATTACTTGCAATAACTTCAATAGTAATAGTAAGTGTAACAGTAATAGGAATATTGACGATGACTACAACAGCAATACTAATCATAATCATCCTGTTTCATTTAAAAAAAACCATAAAACATGGCAATATCATTTTTGGAGGAGGATCGGACGTAGAAACTATCTTGATGAACCGTATGCACACTTCATTTACAAATAACTGGCAAAGTCCGGAAAATGGCCAGAACAAAGTGCACTGAAAATTTGTCTTTTTTTAGCAAACTGACACACACATTTTTCCTTACAATTAGCAAGCTGTTCCTTAGCAAATTGCGCAGCGATTTTTTTGATTAGACGCACACATGAGTTGTTGGTGAGAGATGCTGAAATAATGCCACAACGCTAGGCGGCGATATGCGGAATCTAATTCCAGGTGTCGATGCTACACATGTGTCTGGATATAAACAGCCTGTTATGCAGACAACGTGAGAATGAAAACTTATGTTCTTAATGCCCTAAGATTCATGCGTTCTGGCCGTTTTTCAAAGCTTTGCCGGCTTTTTGCCGAAAAAGTGCACCAGCAAATCGAAACAGATGTTCCATCCAAGATTCACTGTACAAAACTCGGCCAGAAAATAATGCTCTTACTTATGGGTTTGCATTTGTAACATATTGTGATCAACAGCGATAACATTTTAATTCAGCTCAAAGTTGATGAGATAAATGGAGAAGGTAAATGGGCTTTTGAACGTGGTTCATTCGATGTGACTTGGAGTTCAGCAGATGGCAATAAGAAAAGCTATGGGATGTATCTGAAAGTGTGGAAGAAAAATGCAGATAATAAATGGGTGGTATACGCTGACAGTACGAACTACATCAAGTTACCGCCAAAGCCCAAGACGAAGTCATCGTGACAACAGAAATGCTTGTAGTGATAACAACATTTTCGCACTGTTTTTACTGAATTTCATCGATTTTCATTTCGGTCTTCTTTGCACATGAATGCACTCCTTATTTTGGATATTTTATTATATCTCGTGATAACTCTTCAATAAATCAAAAACTGAGATTTTGCATCAGAAACGCAACGCAAATTGCAGTG